GACACACACACACACACACACACACACACACATCACTCATCAAGGCTTTCTGGAGATTAATTAATGAGCTGTACTGTTGTGACAGTCTTGAAATGATAGATTAATTGATTCACCACTTTGTCAGGTCTGCGTTATTTCAGCCCTGCATTAGAGGCCTCACGTAAAACGATCAAAGCAATTATGGCCGATGTCTTATCAGAACTACGTACGTATAATAATTAAAGCTGAAGTGACTTGTGATTTGGAGGAAAAGTATTTTTTACATGTATGTCATTCCAAACCCACATGACTTTCTTTTCTCTGTAGAACAAAAAAGGTGATTTTTGGAGAATAACTTGGCCATTTTTTATTTATAATAAGTTGTTCATATGAATTATATTTCAAGGCTTCAAGTCTTTAGTTAACAGAGGTGAAAAGTATCATGAAATAAATGAAGTGATATGTTTCTCAGACATCTATAAAAGGGTTTCAAAAATCTTTCACCTTTGCATTTGACAGAAGTAAGTCGTATTCCTTTTATTTTAGTGAGTGCACGCACGCATCTGTTTGAATGCACACACATACAGATGCACATTTGCGGCCACATGTATTGAACAGCTGCTCATAGAGAAGAACGCCACAGCTTTCTGTCACATTCACATTCACAAAGCAGGAGGCTGATTCTGAGTCATAACTCAGTGTTTGAGCTGTCAGAACCCCAAGATTTCCCACAAATTCAGGTTTAAATTCCCTTTAACCGGTCATGCCTGAGGTTTACGCCTGATCACATGCTCATTCACATGCTCGGTCTGATAACTACAGCAGACCACTGCAGTACATACTAATGGATTTTATTTCAGTCTAGTTTTACTTGTGAGCGTCTTCATCAGACTCGTTTAATTTATGAGCTTTCCGATTAAGGAATGATCATGATTAGGGTTGCACTGATTTTCTGATATGTTATTAAGGTAATAATTATGTTTGTGTTATGATTGATAACCAATAAATAATGTTAATATCAAATAATTAATATTATTGATATTTGTACAATTTATACTATTTTATATGAAAAAAAACGAAATTATCTGAAAAAGTAATTTTAAATGTTGCAATTAAATAAAAAAAACTAAATGTATGTGGAAGAAATGAACTCTACTTTTACTCAGCAAGGATGCATTAAATAGATCAAGAGTGACAGTAAAGTCTTAAAATAGAGCTAAAATTCTATTTCATATAAATGCTGTTCTGTTGAACTTGAACAAAGATTCCTGAAAAAAGTGTGTATTTGTGTGTATATATATATATATAATAATAATAATTAACTATAAATATAAAATAATAGAGTTAATAATTATGTTGAGCATGTTATGGTCAATAACCAACAAATAATGTTAATAATATTATTGAGTATATACATACACGCATCCCTAGTAACAATAGATTTTAGATTCTAGATTTTTCTTAGTATTTTTTCATTTTGATATTTTTAGCGTTTCATATTCCTTCTGATCACATCTCAGGCCTTCAATTCGGTTAATTTTAAACTGGTTTTGTGTTTATGGTGGATTAGTCAACATTATGAAGAAACAAATCTCGCTCTCGTTTGTGTCCTTGTCAGAGACATTGTGTGGGCGTCAGGAGTGTTTGAAATGAATATGTGTGTGTTGAATGCCAAGCCTTTCATATGCGTGTGTTTGTGTTTATCTGATTTGGATTTTATCCATAATGCTAAAACACCTGCTAATTATGCACTCAGAATTGAGCCGCATACTAATGGACAGACACACAAACAGGCAGACCCATTAGATGGCTAATATCAGCGTGGAACAGATAAACATGAGAGGTTTTCTGTTAATAAGTCATTATTTGGTATGGCAGTGTGTAAATATTCTTTGTACGAGTACAGCGCTAATTTATACATCTGTGCAAAAAGCAGATGTCTGAACGTGGGAATGTATGCTGTATGTTTAGCCTTCCTCTTTTTGCCTTATTCTCTTAGGCTTTAACACATTTAATAATTTGCACAATAATGACTGCTTCTTATGCATAATTTTCTTATGTATCATATAGCCTCAGAAGACTCACTTTTATGATAGTTTTATAGTGCTTTTGTTTACTGAAATCTCTTCTGATTGCAGACATTGGAATCTTGGCAAAGCTGAGCCAAATGTGTGTGAATGATCTATTCTAAGCTCTTTGTAGCATTTTAAGGTGAGTATTTTTTGCTTTGGCTTGTGGTTCGGCGAGGGAAAAGTCTAACTTTAGACTGACGTTGAGGTTACTGTGTCGCACCAGGAGTCACACCGTCAATTAACCAATCCCTGACCTCCTAAATGAGCTCAGCACTGTGGCGGAGGTCCACTGGGACACCAGTCTAAAACGAACTCACTCAGTCTTATCCTGTTATTCGCACTGTTCTTTCTTTTGCTTTCTGGATGCTCTTAAATACAATGTGATATTTGCCCTAAATTTGCATATTTTTGCATATCGCATATCGCATATTCCTTTAAAAACAGCTGAGCTCTAGAGAAATTATACTTAAATATACACACTAGTTCAAACATCTATCTATCTATCTATCTATCGTAATTTTCTTGTATTAATGCAGCACTTGTAGTCTCATTCTCTTTCTGTCTCTATTGCAGAGGTCAATCATTATTTCAGTCAGCAGAAAAGGAGAGGGAGAGCACATTCCTTTGCTTTTTACTGAATAGCGGTTTTCAGTTAAAGTATCTCTGCTTTGTCATCTCCGAAATCCGCTTGTTCTCAAGGGACGCTTGCACCTAAAGGGCAAAATAATAGAAGTCACTACAGCCGATATGAACCCACAACTTCAATCTGGCGGCCAGTAGGATTTCATGTCTTCACCCTGTGGGGATTAGAAACATTTCCCAAATTCTTTTTGTCTGATAGAGTTCCAGAGGTTAAGGATACTGCCTCAGAGTCAGTACTAACTGTGATTCGGTTCCCCGCTGGATCAAGATTAGTTTTGATTTGTCCTCCGAGATATAATTAGCCTTATTATCCTGTAGTCTGACCCCCCACTCTCACAGAACCAATGGCAATTATTCACGGGACAAAAGAATTTGGTTCCTTTCTAGCTGAATCAAATGCGTGTTTAAAGGGATAGTTCCCTCGAGATAAAAAATTCTGTCATCATTTACTCACCCTCATGTAATTACAAACCTTTATGACTTTCTTTCTTCTGTGGAACACTTGGTGTGTTTGGTCCATACAATGATTATCTTTCAAAATATTTTAAGGGTTATAATATAAGGGTTATGATCTGTAAATACCCCAAGAGGTAATGGACTTGACCCCACATACACCTCAAAATACTATAACGCAAGCAGCAACGCCAACGCTTCCTTCTCGATTGTGCTGTAATTCAACTGGTGCTTCAAAAACTTCCTCGAGAAATAGCACACAGGATGATCAACTCCATGCGCATCTTCCTGCAGGAGAACAGCACCAGCGCCAGTAGCGCTAGCATCCACGTCCAGCTTGAACGCCGTTGAGAAGTCAGGAGCAGAGAGTACCGGCGTGCTGCACAATAATGATTTGACAGACTCAAAGGCTATCTGACATTCATCGGACCACACATTTTGTGTGTCTGTTTTAACAAAGCAAATTGGTCAGCGGTAACACCACATCAGAAAAGTTTTTACAGAATCCCCCGACAGTATCCTGCCATACCGAGAAAATGTCTCAGCTGTCGCTTAGTATTCGGGGCAGGGAACTGTACAATAGCCTGCACTTTAGCAGCAATAGGACGAACTTCACCCTGGCCGACCTGCTTGCCCAAATACGTTACTGTAGCCCTTCCAAACTCGCATTTCGTGAGATTTGGAGTCAAAGAAAAAGCTTGCAGACGGTCAAACACCATCCGAAGGGTTTTTAGATGTTCATTCCAATCAGAAGAGTACACCACAATGTCGTCTAAATACGCGTCACAATTAGGAATGCCTGTCAACACCTTATTCATCAGACGCTGAAACGTCGCAATCCGAACGCCATAACGGTGTACTGTAGCAGGTTATCAGGCGTAACAAAAGCTGAAACTTCGGCTGCGCGAGGAGTCAAGGGCACCTGCCAGTAGCCCTTGAGTAAATTCAGCTTCGAAACAAAGGTAGCTGACCCCACCCGGTCTACACAATCCTCCATACGTGGTAAAGGAAAGGAATCCGGCTTCGTAATCGCGTTGACTTTTCTATAATCAATGCAAAAACGGGACGTACCATCACTTTTCGGAACGATAAGACAGGGGGAACTCCAAGCGCTGGAGCTCGGAACAGCCAACCCATTTTCGAGCAGGTATTTCACCTCATCCTGCATTACCTGGCGCTTAGTCGGGTTCACCCTATAAGCATGCTGCTTAATTGGTGGATGGTCTCCCACATCAATGTCATGGTACACTGCAGTCGTTCTAGATGGTACATCGGAGAACAAAGTTAGCTATGTCTGGATTAACTGACAAATATCTGCTCGGGGGACTTAGGACAGATATGACGAATGAGACGTCAAATCTCTAATAATCTCAGAGTTTTGTAAATGGGCACCAGTAACAGAAACACTTCGCATAGTCAATCCATCTGTATCAGGACAATCAGGAGCAGGTACAGATATAACGGATACAGGTGCAACTGGGCGACAGGATATTTTATTTCGTTGTCGCGCGAAACATAAAACTCAAACATTTATGTGACAGACGCGAGTTTTCCTTTTTCGGTCAGGTGTACGGATTACATAATCAGTTTTACTAAATTTAGCATCAATCACATAGGGACCAGAAAATTTCACCTGCAAGGCTGATCCAGGGACAGGTAACAAAACCAAGACCATATCACCCTGATTAAAAGAACGTGAAACAGTTTTTTTGTCAAATCGGGTCTTCATTTTTACTTGAGCAGACGCCATAGAGGCACGAGCTAATTCACACACACGATGCAAACACTCCCGAAATGAACTAACATAATCCAAGATATTGGTGGCATCATTGGATTTACAACCCATCATTTTCTCTTTCAATAATTTCAGAGGACCTCTCACAGTGTGGCCAAAAACTAATTCGGCAGGACTAAAGCCAAGCGATTCTTGCTGAGTCTCACACACAGCAAACAATAATAGGGGTAAACCTTCATCCCACTCTCTTTCTGACTGAGCACAAAAGGTACACAACATTGACTTTAAGGTTTGGTGAAACCATTCCAACGCACCCTGTGATTCTGGATGGTACGCACTAGAGACTTCATGTTTTATATGGAGTTGTGATATCACTTGTTTGAATAACCGAGACATAAAATTTGTGCCCTGGTCGGTCTGCACCACCTTTGGTAAACCAAAGGTAGAGAAGAACTTCGTTAAAGCTCGCAGAATTCCCTTGGTTTTTACAGTGCGTAAAGGCACAGCTTCCGGGAAACGGGTGTTAGAGCACATCATAGTTAGTATGAACTTATGTCCGGACTTAGTCCTGTAGCGTCTGGACCACTCCAACACACAATATATATTTTG